ACGCAATGTGACAACTTTCCCACCTATGGCGGTGTATATTCCGGACGATTTGGAATCACAGCCTGACGATCCAGCACCGCAGTTCCTCACTGATAAGCAAACGGTACTGCTTATCGTTGAGCTTCGTTTTTTTCGTTTTCTCAAAAATTCCACTGACTGTTTATTAGAAGCAGTTCAGAAAAATGTCAAAAGCCAAGATATTTCTGGATCAGGACATCCTGTAGAACTTTTTCGCATCCTTAACAATTTCCACAGGACCTCCTTAACGTATTTTCGCACATTTAGCAATTTTTCTCGTTCATGCTGTATAGTGGGCATTTGCATTTCTTTTTTCTCGAATAGATCATCTGATTTGCGTTCAATCTTGAACAGATCCCTTGATTTCCGTTAAGAAAAATATTCGAACTGTGTGGAATTAGCCAGTTCTTTCCGGTATTTCAGCCGTCAGCTATGGAGAAATCGCCAAGCTTTACAACAAAATTTGTGGAGAAAATCAAAAACCATCGGGATTACAGGTTTGTCGATTGGCTTTTACATCTCGGTTGATCCTTATCCTGCTGCTGATGCTACTACTCATTTACCCCGATGATTTCCAGTTGTGTTGATTTAAAACGTTGCTCAAAATGCGATACGGTGGAGTCAGCAATTTCTCGTGAAACTCAAACAGTTGAGCAGCAACCGCCGTGGCCTAAAATTGTCGATATGCCTGCCCGATGCGTTACAGATACATATCATCTTGAACAGATCATCTAACTTCCGTGGTTGTCGTTGCTCTTGTGGCATATTCCCTTGTATTCCGCTATGAAACTTTCTTCCCCGGTGAATCGACTGAAACGCCCTGTGAGGGAAACTCGGTGATGTCTTTACTGAAATGCTTTATTTATTAATGTTATCTAATGGGATAATTCTGTGATCTTATCTCTAATCATGCAAAACTCGGTATAAAGCTGCTCTTCTTTCGTAGCTTCGTGTTTCTACACCACTAAACTATGAGGCTGAACTCTTTTAAAATGCATCTCCGTTAGAAACATGCCTTTGCACAGTTAAGTTGCTACAACTCTCATAGACGGAAGTAGGCGTATCCAAGGCGGTCTTCCTGGGGCGGGGGGGG